CGTGCCAAGTACCAACCTTAAATGCAACATCCACGACACCCTGGATAATTCTTGAGTAAAAAATCAGCGCCTTCCGTATTTTCGAGCTGAATAATTTAAGTGAAGTCAGTCCAGACTCACTGAGTGGATTATGGATGGGGCCAATCCTACACACTAGACCATAGGTGAAGCATAGCACTCAACGAGCACGAAATCTCAAATATGTTGGTGAAAATCGCAATGTAAATGGGCGAACTGTTCTTTGAAGAGCTGCATCATCACCAGGGAGGCGCTATCCCCAAAGCAGGGTCGGTTGGCTTCGACTGGTTGCTGGGAAGCTGGTCCAAGCATTTGCCCGAACAAAACACTTGTTTTCACTTGGAAGCTGATGTTCATCCAAGTTCCATCAGTTCCGCTATCCGCTTTTAGAAGGCGGCGCAAAGCAACAAGAGCCGTCTTTTGAGCCCCCATAACTCGCGGAACTGGAAACGGAACAGAGCCCAGAGACAGGTGTAAGTTGGTCCATGACACAACATCCCCCCCCCCAAAAAAAAAGGGAATCCCTGGATTAACAAACCGCTGATTGGGCAATCAAAGGAAGTTTGGCAGAAACTTCTGTGTTACCGCACTGCTTGAAGGTAGTCTTGCGCACAGATAAGATGAAGAAAGAATGAATGCATGCGAGAAAACATGTGTGGGCATGTGGCGGGGAAATAGAAACTGCGAAAAGAGTGATCCTCTGCTGGTTCTGAAAGAACAATGATAGACAGATATGTTGAGAGATGCATAGACAGAGAGCCAGATCTAGATGGACAGATAGATAGATAGATAGACATAGCCCTCCTGGTCCACCGAAAAGAAAAAAATCGGGCGGAACACTGCAAATAAAGCATTGCAGCATTACCTCCTAGAACCAATATGCTAGGTTCCAGCAGGCCCCACAGAATTCCCCCGAAATCTCTCCGTTCTTCCCCGTCATTTTCCTCGAAATCCACGAAATCCAGGACACCAACTCCAACCAAAAAAACACGAGACCTCAAAGCACTCGGGCCCCTGGCAGGTTTCGAGCTGCCCAAAACAGTAGCAGCGTCACCACCAGGGCCGCGGTTTCCTGGGAACCGTCTGGAACCGTGGATTGCGGTTTCAGGGAACCCAGCAGGGAACCAGGCCGAGGCATCCTGAATTCTTGGGGCTGGAGAGTCAATGACCAACACCCAGGTCCAAAGGTTCATAAGCAATACCAAAAACTATCATCCAGGGGGTGGAAGCTTTCGGCGTGGAAAAGCCACATGTGCTTCTTGTTTTTCTTTTTGAACGTCCCACCAGGGAGGCACCAGCCATGTGAAGGGGAACCAACGCGAACAATAGTGGCTTTCTGCCAGGAGGACTTGGATGGGTAGGATGGACTCAAATGGACGCAAAAGTGAAAAGTGCATGAGACATAGTAGGCCCTCCGTGCATTACATAAATGTGGCTCCTTTAAGCTTAGGCAATTCTTGCACGACACAATAAACTTGGACAGCGGGCGCAGTTTGGCCTAGAGATGGGAATTCTGTGTGGGTACTAGTCACAAAGCTTTAGATGGGACTTCAAGGTGCTGGTGGCTTGGGTGCAAATTCCGGCCTGCGCCTTGAGTGTGGCTCCTCTGGTCAACCGAGTGTATTGCTAAAGACCCTGGATATGCCGTGCATAGAAAAAGCCTTGCAATCCTCATGCAGGATAAACAACAAAAACACAACTCCTGAGCAACTTCGATTGGGCATGTCCCATTTAAGGGGATCCGGATCACTTCTTGGGGGGGCAGTTTGGTGTCCTCTGCATCCGCCGAGTTCTATTCGTATCCGGGGTCGACATTCGTAGAACCCGTTGAGGGCTACCCTAAGGGAAAAACCTAGTGCCCCACAAAACCTAATGTTGACCCCAGATCAAAAACGCCAAAGGCCTATTCGTAGAAATTTGGTCCCTCCAAAAGTGGTCGGGGAATCTCCCCACTAAAAGGGGACGCTCCTAATGTTGACCACGGATTAATAACCCCGTCCTATTCATAGGTGGGTGGGGGCCCCTCCAAAAGTGGTCTGAATCTCCGACACCCCGCGTTGATCCATCAACAATATACCAAACACGAAGGTCAAGACCTGAATCGCTTCCGCGAATGCACAAGTGAAAGGTCGCGGGCTCGTCTCATGGGAGGCTCGTCTGCCAAAACGAAGGCCACCAGTTTCCAGTTTGGTGCCCGGTCCCCCCAAGAAAGACAGGCCCGAATTGAATATTGCAGCTTTTCAAAGGGTCCAAGAAACAAGCAGTGTCCTCAAACAAGACACACCCAAACATTCAAAGGCCGCGAAAACACAGAGAGCGAGAGAGAGAGAGAGAGAGAGAGAGAGACACAATCCCCACGAAAATAGGTTCTAAAATGGGTAGTGCACCTACCCCAAAATGGGATCCCATTGGCCTTGACCCACACCCATGTCATTGGGTTTATGGGCCGCTCGCCTTCTCGTAGCTCCCGTACGAGGTCCAAAAAACTCAAAATCCGCGGTACGGCCCAGGCCAAGCGGCGCTCTCCAGGCTGGCCGAAGGCATGTGGCCCATCGCCCCCTTTGGCTCCAACGAAGCACCCGGAGTTGCAACTTTAAAGAGAAGCAGCGGGATCGGGGATCATTTGATCCATGCTGTTGGCTCATGAAAAAAGAACTGACAAGCAAAAGTGAGGTGGAGTTCGCCATGGTGGGGATAGCCAAGCTTTGGTGAAGCCCTGAACAAACTGTGCGGTTCTTGAAGCGCTGAGCACATGTACCTGGAATGCCAAGAAGAAGCTGCAACCAAAAAGACTGGAAGCGTCAGCGGATGCGAGCGTCTCATGCCTCTCAAGCTTGCTGATTCGATAGGAATATACAAATTTAAAAGTATATATAGGACTTTGTTCAAGGCTCCAAAATGTCGAGTAATCTTTGAGTTGGAACCATTCAACTGATGGCTTCCTTGCTCTGGTTGCTTCCGCTTCGTGGCTTCCTTGCTGTGGCTCCTGCGTCATTTCCAAAACTTCGACTTCCCCGGTTTGGCCTTGGCCAGTTTGCCTGCAGGTCATGCTGACATGGAGGCCAGGACGCTACTGGGCGGTTAAAGAGGACCTCCAAGAACTGAGCACCTTTCTTAGAGGGTCCAAGTACCTCAGAAATAGCTGGGGGGTCAAAAGGGGTCTAAGTACCTCCGAGGGTACCAAGGGACACTCTGGGTTTTAAACATTTACCCGCACCAGGCGCCCGGCATTTTTCTTCTCACGATCGCGCCCAATTCTCACCCACGTCTTCCTGCTCCACGGTCGGCTCCAATTCTCTGGACCAGAACGCCAGGTTCCGAGCTCGCCACCGCTCCACTTGGGAAAGCCTGGCTTCTCGGAAGGCCCCTGTGAAAACGAGACCAAACAAAGGCCATGGGTCAAAATCCAAATCGGTTAGCCCCCAATCCCCACGAAAATAGAACAAAATGGGTGGTGCTCCCACCCCAAAATGGGATACCATTGGTTTTGACAACCACAGCCACAGGACGGAGCCTCCGCGCGACCTGAATTCTGGCCGTTTGAGAGCATCTTATTCGGCTCTCTCGAACTCTTGAGCAGGGAACTCCGGTCTGGAGAGGGCGGGTGCTGCATGAAGAACTGCCCGGCGGCTTCATCTCTTCCTTTTTCCTGGACAGTGTCTGGCCGGTATGAAGTCCTATCGAACATGCTGCAAACCGTACATGGAGGCTATGCATGTATACCGTATACCGTATACCCGTAAACGGTCCTGGCTTGGCTCAGCGCTATGATGACGCAGATGAGAAGGACGACAAGTGAATCCTTGCAAAATCAAGACAAAAGCACAGCAACGGAGCTGCTGGAGAGTGTGAAACCATATGGGTGTGTCTTTTGTTGGTGGTACCCTTTTTGGGGTGGTTTTAAAGGGGAAGCCAAAAGGACCCTCCATCTTGGGGGTCCCCGAAGAAAAAGACACACGCATATTTCTATCTTCAGACTCGCACCAGCAAACATCGAACATGTTGCCATGATGTCCAGAGAGCTGGACATGGGTATGTATCAAAATAAGGATTACCCGAAAACTGTGGCCCGGGGCATTCCGGTGTTGCTTTCCCTTTAAAACAGCCCAAAGAAGCTTTCCTCAAAAAACACACGGCAAACACTCAACCAGGGGCAGTGCTCAAGCCGAGTCCACCTGAAGGCGGCCTGAGGTGAACAAACTTACGCCAGCTGTGAGGTTCAGCTCAAAAAGGCCGTGCTCGAGAGTACTGGACTTGAGATTCGTGGCTTCTTTCCACGCCAAGGAAAGAGGAACCGATCTTAGCCCTTAGCTGAAACTGCGAAACTCTGCACGACCACGGAAGTCCTAAAGCAAGCTGCCTCTGTGCTGTCGCGAAAGTGAGGACGGGCACCCCGTATCCTGGCAGAATCAAGTGGAAGGATGCTCAAGGACCGGAGCCCGCAAGGTCACTTCTCTAAGGCAAGCCCTTCGCGACAAATCCAGTGGCCAGCCAGCCACACGGCTTGCTTGCCTCAAGGCACTCGAAGGGCCAAGCGAGCCACGAAACAGAGCGGCGCAGCCATCCCTGGCGCGCGAAGAAACCAGCGCCGCCATTTTCTCTTCGCTCATGGCTAAGAAAAATGGCCTTGAACCTCTGGGGCACGGCCGGGTAGCAAGCAAATCACTCACCCCCAAACCAAGCAGCAGGATATTTGCTGCAACTTTGTTAATAAGTAGCCGTACCCCAAGCGGCCATCAAGTGGAATCAGAGTCTCACTGCTGATCACCACAGGTCCTGGTCTTCTGCGTCATCTTGATAAGATGGAAAGGCTGAGCATGTCAACAGCCACGGACAACATTACTTGCAGTTGCTTCAATTGGGTAGCACACTTCCTGAGTTGATGGGCCAAACAAAGTCCAACTTTCTGTAAGCCAATAAAATGGTCGTCCAAAACGTTTACAGTCCATGAACTCAGGAAGTGAGGTCGGCGCCCTATATTTTGCGAGCAAGCTGGGGGAAATGTGTCGTCAAATGAACAACAAACTACCAGTAACATTGTCCAATGAATCCCACATCCTCTTGTTAGAAGATGCTAGGATTGAAGTCTCCAAGTATCAGAGAGTACGGGAAGTGGGCCATCCTTTGGATGCACGCTCCCCGAGGTTGCAGGCTCAAGCGGCCGTGGCGACAGCCTGACCTTGAACGTGCCAAATGCGAGGCCTTTGCCTTCGCTCAGAAGCTGAACCGATCGTCGTCGAGGAAGCTTACACCATCTCAGATGAGTGGATTTCCAAGCGGGCAAAAAAAAGCGGCGCCCTCTTTTTGGTTGAGTGTAAAGGGGACCCCTTCCCAAGAGAAAGCACAAAAGGGCGCCACTGGGCAACTGGGCCACTCTCCATCATCAGCTCTTCCAGCCTGGCAGTTGACTCTGAAGGGACACCCTGATTGTCCAGATCCATCTGGTTTTGGTCGGGGTCGGCCGCCAGCGACTCGGCTGGGGCGACAGCTGCCTGGCGAGTCTCATTCGCCTCCGGATCCTCAGCCACGACGATTTCCTCAAAGCGAATCCCACCTTCCGCTTCCGATCGGGTCTCAACGTGCTTTCGGTCCTTCATCCGACAATAGAACGCTGCGCCGCAGCACATGAGCGCAAAAATCGCGAGGCTCCCCAGAACGATGATCACTGGCACGATGACTGGTTGGTCCTCCTCAACAGACAAGACTTGCGGAACTCCGTCTGCAACAGAGATCGAGACTTCAAAGGCCGAGATCGAGTCCACCTGGAAGCCCGTTCCTGCCAGTTCCTCGTTGATCGCGTCCTTCACCTGTTCCAGAGATGTGGATTGCACCGAGCTCTGAACCGTCTGCGCCCAGCTCCGGGCCAGATCTGCCGAGCTCCAAGCCTGGCTCACGGTGTACTCCGCGCGCACCGAGTCTCCCATGAAGAGGCTGAGCTGCACGGCGACCTCCACATCCAGCACTCCGGCGAGGGCGGCAGCCACGGCTTCTTGAGCCGCGACGTCGCTGGCAAAGCTCGAGGCCGCCCCTCGGCTGCTTTCTGCTCCCCTGCTAAAAGTGAACAACCTTTAGTGGTTTAATTGGTTTAATACGAAAAACCAATCCGTTGGCAAAAAGTTGTTCAGTCCTAATATCCCTTGGCAAAATGCACCAAAGGCTCCTTGCAGTCGCCGGCCTTGACTCAACTGGAGGTCCAGGAAGCCACTCAGCCGTACGAGCGTGCCCGGCGAACAGCTGGGCAGGTCCCCAGAAAGGACACCATTGGGAGCACAGGACAGGGTAGTTGTGTTGCCAAACCACCCAAAGGAGCAGTTCACCTCACAAGTGTCATCGGTCGAGATGTTCTGGCAGTTGTGCACATACTCGTCTCCCACGGGGAAGTTGTAGTTGCACACCTCAGGCACGCATGCAGGAACAACTCCTTTGAGAGCATAACCGTCGACAGCTGGAAGGTCGCCGTCGACCACTGGCTCAGTGCTGCCGGGACCTGCGCAGGTCCACTGAACCACGCCAGCTGTGCTGGTGAAGCCTTGGCGGCAGAAGGCATAGCAAGTGCTTTCAGCGGTGATGCCCATGCAGGTGTGTTCCACATTTGGAATGCTGGTTGTGCTGTTGCATTCCACAGCCAGGCACTGTGGCCGCTGGCCTGCGTTGATGCTGAGGTCCACCATGCAGGTGAAGGTAGCGCTGGAATTCTCAGGAGATGCGGCAGCAAAACCCTGGCTGCAAGTCTGCGTGCAGGCGCTGCCCACCGGCAAATCTGTGCAGTTGTCTTGCAAGGCCCGACTGGAGACCAGGTCGATGGGGCATGTGAGAGGCTCACAGCTGGGCAATGTGCCCACCAATGCGAGCTCTGAGCCCGTGAGAGCACAGGTCCAAACCTCCCCGGAGGTTCCTGAGGTCAACTTGTACCCCTCGGCGCAGAAAACTGAGCAGGTCCTTCCAAACGGCACATCCTGGCAATTATTGGCAAGAGACAGCGTCTCGAGGGATGCATCCAAAGAACAAACCTCGGGGACGCAACTTGGTAGCAAGCCGATGAGGGTGCCCATGGCGTGGCAGGTGAGTTGTGCCGAGTTGGGGACCATCCCTGGTGCGCAGCTGACGGTACAGTTCGAGCCGGTGGTGACGCCATCGCAGTTGGAGTCCAGGGTGGCAGGCACGGTGTTGGTGCACTGCTTGGGTAGGCACACAGGTTCCATACCCTCGATTTGGCCAGCGCCCATACATTGGTACTGAGCCACCGAGCCCATCAGGGAGAATCCCTCAGCACAAGCGACGCTGCAGGAGTCTCCATAGACCATGTTGAGGCAGCGGTGTTCGAAGCGGGGTGCCAGCGTTATGTCCTGGCATGCAGCTGGGACACAACTTGGGCTTTGCCCTTGAAACTCGCCCGTGGGGAGGCACTCAAAAGTTTCTGCCCCACCAAACGCGTAGCTGAAGCCCTCTGCTGCGCACACTGCTACGCAGGTACCGCCAGTGGCGACGCCACTGCAGTTGTGCTGCACCCCGATGGCGTTTGGTAAGTTGTAGATGCAGGGCACCGGGTCACACTGCGGAATGTTCCCATCCAGGACTCCATCTTGGCACAACATGACAGAAGCATTGCCGGTCAAGGCCCAGCCCAAGCTGCAATGGCTGATGCACACGTCTGCATGGGCCATTGACGAACAACTGTGCTCGAACTCCGCAAGCTGCAAGCCAACCGTCTCCACTGCCGCGGTGCCACAGCCGGCATTGGAAGAGGTCAAGCGCCGGGCGCTGCTGCAGAGGATTTCTTGCTGCACCGGCTCCACCCGGACGACACCCAAGGTGCTGTTCGCCACGCAGGTGTAGGGCTGAGGGCTGCCCGCGTAGCCCGCCACGCAATATGCCCAGCACTCCGCGCCAATGGTCTTGTTCTCGCAGGTGCTGCCAACACCCGCGCCCAAAGACGGAGTGGGGCAGGTGGCGGCTTCGATGCTGGGCAGGGATCCTTTGAACTCTCCATCCGTTGCACACTGCAGAGTGGTGGAGCCGCCAACGGCAGTGAATCCCAGGGCGGCCTCGATGGGTGCGGGAAAAACAAGCAACATCTTGGGTTGACAGGGGGGATTTGCCCGAACTTTTATGTTGCCCCGCGCATGCCGATCCCCAGCGTGTTCGTGGCTGTTGAGCCGGGGGGACGGGGGGGAACTGGGGGGGGGGGCATGGAAAGAACACGGGTCCATGTTTCCAGCATGTCGTTTGTTTTCAAACTAGTCGATCCCAACCCCCCAGCCCCACACGCCATGTGACTACCCAAGCCCTCTTAGACACCAGGTGTCTGAAAACGCGCAGATAGCGAAGGTCTTCTTGCGTTTGAAGGAGCTACGTTCCCGAATGCTGGCCTTTGTCTCCGCTGCGCTGTCAGTACCGAGCAGGAACGGAAGTTCCGCCAACAAGTTATCACCGCAGCTCATGACTTGTCTGCTTCGCATATACGAGGCAGCCCAGCCTGGACAGCTGCATGAATGTGTTGGTGGCATTCTGAATGTATCTCACTAAGAGAATCAAGCCACAGTCCTGGAGCCTGCTGCGAGCAAATCAGAATGCTGTGTCTGCCAGCACCGCGTATTCGAATCTGAGATTCGAATACGCAAAGTTGGACATTTGCAGACTTTTCTGTGATCCCACCGAAGCCACGATTCACTGCTATTCGCACAGGATTTGCACAATTCCCAACCCACGTCCAAGAGAGACCGTCATTCGGTCCGGGCAAACCCCCCTTTGGCAACCCAACATGTTGAGTATCCAAAAACAAGTATTGTTGTTCAGGATCTTTGAGGGTTTAGCGTGGACATGGGGGCGGATAGTGCTGGGGTTTAGGGCTGGTTTTGGGTTGGTTGGTGCTTGCAGTGGGCACACAGAGGATTTAAATTTATGGTTGCTTTAGGGTTGGTTTAGGGTTAAAGCATTGGTTTAGGGTTGGGCTTAGGTTGATTTAGGGCTGGTTTGCGGGGCAGCGTGGTTTGGGCGCAACTTGGATTATGGATCGAATCGGTTCCGCGCAAGGAGGATCGTTTCAGGGGAAAGGGCACCAGCGAGGCCGGCTACAAAGGCTTCGTTTTGGGAGAACCTGGGCAGGTTGCTGCCTGGGATAGTTCAAACCGGTTTCGACCACCGCGCGCACGCGGGGCCTGGACGGTGCAATTCTGCAGCGTGGTCTTTCCGCTGCAATCATGGTCGGCCCCGCGGAGACTCGGCAGCCCCGCCGTGCAGACCCTCGCCACACAGGTCGGCCCGGAGCTGGCGGCCAAAGTGTCCGCCTCCACATAGCCAGGGGCCGAGGAGGAGTCATAGCACAGCATCATGGTGGCATCCCCCTGCAAGTCCCAACCTGGTGGTCCACGAAAACCACAGGAAACAACCCAGTTTGTCGGTCCATTGGAGGGGGGAAAAGGGAAAGCCACAAGAAGCAACCCAGTTTGGTCTGTGAGAACCCGCCTGTCCGGCAACTAACAGAGCAGGTCTGGCCGAAGCTCTTCTCTTGGCAGGTGTCCGCAAACTCTGGAGAGGAGAAGGTAGCAGAGTCCGAGAGGTTTCCGCACACCGTCGCCTGGGGTTCAAACATGATCGACCCTGCCGTGGTTTCTGTTGGCCGCCCTTCATTCAGAGGGCAAAAAAGGGCCCCAAAGTTCCTTTTCCCCCTGCCTCACATTGGAAGGTTGGGCTGCCCTGCAGGAAGGTGCCATCACTTTGGCAAGTCATGGTGGGGTTTCCAACGCCCTGGTATCCGAATGCGCACTGCAAGCTGCACAGGCTCCCGGTTGTTGCGCCATCGCAGCCGGAGGTGTTCACCCCAAGCCCAATGTAAATTCCCGTGAGCTGGCACGGCAAGGCCTCGCAGCTGGGCGTCTGGCCGATCAGCAGGCCATTGTCGCAGAGGTACTCGCTGGGAGCCCCCGAGTGCCCGGCCGTGCACGTGGCCATGCAGGTTTGCCCGTGGAGCTTCCCCGCGCAGTCCGTTGTGAAGGCGCTGGTGGACAAGGAGCTCGGCACCGAGCACTCCTTCCGCGCGCAGCTTGGCACGGTGCCCTGAAAGGTGCCACTGTCTGGGCAAGTGTAGGTCTTTGCTGGCCCGTCATAGCCGAACTTGCAGCCCACCTGGCAGCTGTTGCCAGCCGTGGTGCCCACGCAGCTCGTGACGTTGAGACTTGAGTCCGCTGGCAAGGAGTCAGGGCTGCACTGTATCGGCTCACATGTTGGAGCCACTCCAGAGAAGCTTCCGTTCGCCAAGCAGGTGAAGACGGACTCGGCCGTGACGAAGCCCGTGGGGCAGCGAACGAAGCAGAAGGACTCAAGCGCGGTGCTGCTGCAGTCGCTGATGTCCAAGCCTTCAGGCAGAGATGTGGTTGGACACGTAGCTGGCGAGCAGGAGAGCGCAGGGCCAGTGAAGATTCCTGAGAATGTGCAGCTGTACGGTGCTGGGCCGCCCTCAAAGCCAGTGTCGCAAGTGACCGAGCAAGTCTCTCCTGAAACCTTGCCCGAACAATCACCAGCCACCACACCTGGACCTGAGGGAAGACCGCCGCTGCAAGGGACAACAGGTGGGGCCGTTGTCGTCAGCCCGTCTGTGGGCGAGTTTGGATTTACTGTGAGGGAGGTCGCGGTCGAAGACGTGGTTGTTGATGTTGATGACAAGGTGGACGTCAGAGTTGAAGACCAGGTCGACGACGTCATAGTTGATGACAAGGTCGCCGACGTCATAGTTGATGACAAGGTCGTCGACGTCATAGTTGATGACAAGGTCGTCGACGTGATAGTTGAGGACAAGGTCGTTGATGTGGAGGATGCACTCGTTGTTGTGGAGCTGCTTTGTGTTGACGACGTTGTGGATGTACTTGTGCTGCTGCTGGAGCTTTGCGTGGAAGAAGTTGTGGATGTACTTGTGCTACTGCTGGATGATGTCGTCGTGGCGGAGCTGCTTTGCGTGGACGACGTCGTGGATACACTGCTGCTTGAAGTTGCTGTGGTGGATGTTGTGGTCCTGCTGGTGGACGATGTCGATGTTGATGAGGTGGTGCTTACAGAAATCGTGCTGCTGCTTGTCGTTGCCGTGGTGCTTGAACTTGATGAAGCAGTTGTACTAGTTGTAGTGTAGGTTGTGGCTGTCGAAGTAGTCTGTGTCGACGTAGTGTTGGTCTGAGTACTTGATGTACTTGACGTCTGCGTCTGTGTGGAAGACGAGGACGTCGTCGTGGTCACGCTTGTCGTGGTCGTGCTTGTCGCGGTGGATGATGTTGTTGAACTGCTGGTTCGGCTGCTTGATGTTGAGGTGGTGGCGGTTATTGTGGATGTGGTAACTGTCACCGATGTTGCCGTTGATGAGGTTTGCGTCTGGCTGGTTGATGACACCGTTGTCTCAGTTATGCTTGTTGATGTCTGCGTCGACGTAGTGGTGGTTAGCAGCTGCACAAACACATCCAGCTCTCCGTATGGGTTGTCGTCTTGTGGGTCAAACTCTGTGCCTCCGACCAAGTAGATGTCGCCGTTGCTCCTCTCAACGAATCCTTTGCCCTCATCAATACGGTCACTCCCAATGAACTGGGTGGAGACCCATGTCGGATTCGACGAACCCTTCTCGTGCGTGTATTCCACGACGAAGGCATCGTTATAACCGAGAAGGCTGGTGCCGTCAAAACCCTCGACCCAGTCGGTTGTGCCTGCCATCATGAGCCGGGATTCCGTTGCATAGACCCCATGCACGTACTCATCGCGACTGCCGCCATGCTGACGCGTCCACATCCAGTTTCCATCGTAGTCGAACTTCATGATATAGACATCAAAGCCGCCCGAGTACGTCTGACCATCTATGGAGCCTTTAGTGTTGCCAACCACATAGGCTTCCCCACTGTTTGAGTGCACATGCAGGGCTTGGCAATCGTCGGCTGCTGTGCTCCCCCGCTGAACGGACCAAGTCTCCTGAACATCCGAGCTGAACTTGATGAGAAGAAGATCCCAATCGCCTGCATTGGAATGCGACCCGTAAGAACCCTCGGTCTTGCCTCCCAGGTACAAGATACTGCCATGGTGCCACAGGCTCGAAACATAATCATTCGAAGCGGTTCCCAACCTCAGACGCAACCAGTGGATTTCCAAGGCAAAAAAACAACTCCCCTAGGCATCCCTTTTTGGTTGGTTGAGTTTAAAAGGGAATCCGGAATCCTTCCCACACACAAGGACAAAAGGGCGCCACTGGGCAACTGGGCGGCTGGTACTTGTTGATATCGCTCCCACTTGAGCTAAAGCGGTATATGATGATATCGTCACCCCCTAAAGGGCCGCCTGTTACATCCCCCCATGTGGTCCCTGCCGCATAGATCTCATTGTATGGATTCACTGAGACGGCAGTAAACTTATCATCGGTGTTGGTACCCACTTGCCGTCCCCACTGCAGAGCCCCTGCTGTATTATACGCCATGATGACGGCATCTGAGTACTCCCTGGACGTGTGAAAACTACTGGGAGGGCCTAGGTTGGTTCCGAAGTCCTCCATATCGCCGAAGGTGAAGCCCACCACGATGATCTCGCTGGAGGTCTTGCTCATCCCCGTGAATTCGCTCTGTCTGTAAGAGCCCGCACTCGTTTCTACCTTCCAATCATTGCGCGTCATGTCTTGCCAATTCCAAGTGCTGGGCGCTGTGATCGGCTCCGTAATCTTCGCCAGGAAGCCATCGAACAGATTTATATCATAGGTGATGCCGTCTGGTCCCGTAGCTCCTGCCACAATCAAGTTCCCGTCAAACTCGATGATGCACTCATTGCAAACCTTGTCATCGTAACTGCCGCTCATCTTCAGGTAGGTGTAGCGTGCAGACGAAGTCCACCAAGTGTCTGCCGCCCCGAAGGGAAGAAAGCCAAGCCATCCCCATCCCAACCACATTCGGAAATCCATGATCCGAGGAAGGAATAGTTGCTCCCCCAAGGGCTTGATCTTGAAAATCTGAAAACCAAACCGCCATGCAAAAACAACAGAGCAGAGGTTTCCATCTGTTTCCAAGATAGTCTAGGTGCTCCACTGGACAGAAAACAGTGATACATCATGATATGCCACGAGCGCAAACGATCATCATGATGAAAATGAGAAGAACTATGACAAAAGGTCTGGATTGCACGAACGCAACTCTGAGATTGCCACAGTGCGGGGCAGTGACATCTCTGAAAGCTTGGGGTGCTTCGGATGCGATTCAATCGGGGGGAACACAACACATCTCTGGCTCTTGTGCTCTCTCTTTCGGAGACAAGGAGAGACTCATGCGGCCGAGCAAAACCTCAAGCCGTGGGTTTCGTCGAGGGCCCTGAAGGTGTAAAGTTCAGCCGCGGCCGGAATTGCCCAAATCGGCATTTCGGCATTCCTGTCGGGTGCTGTCGAACCTCCGCAATGTGCAAGGTGGCTGTTCAGCTCAAAAAAAAAACACGGCTTCACCCAGGCACCAAACTAAAATCACCTGGCTGGGGTTGATTGCTCTATGAGGTTCCCAAACCTTGGTCCCTGCGACGCCGGCCTGGGGTTTGCGGCCGCGCTGCCGCGCGCTGAAAGCATGTGGTGGTTGGCTGCGAAGCAACCAGAGCTCTTCTTTGAGGGCAGTACCGGGATCGGGGATGACTTGCTCCACGCTCGGAATGAAAAGCAGTGGATCGGAGTTCGCCATGAAATGGATTGCAACCCTGAACAGTGCGGGTGCTTGGAGGGATGTGGCATATGTTCTAGATCAACGCAACCAAAAGACTGGCCGCGTCGGGTGCGCGTCTCAAGCTTCAGCTGCCCGGTCCCGAATCGAAGCGCCAAGTGAACCAACCCACGGCTTCTCGGATCCGGTTCCTTCCGGAGTCCAACGTTGATCCGTCCCAGCTGCCTGCCTGCCAGCCCTTCATGGCATGGCTAACTGGTGGACTGGGCGGTTCAACGGGACCCCAACAGCCGGAGTCCCGGAGGTCAATTTGGCATCGGCGGAACACTCATTTGGGCATCTCGTGTCTTCTTTAAAAGCACCTTTGGCCGCTTCCATACCTGACTCTATCCGCACAAAAGCGACTGGCACTTTTCTTCTCACGATAGCGCCTCCGAAAACCCAAGTCTTTCTGTTCCACGGTCGGTCCGATTCTCTGGACCAGTGGAACATAAGGTTCTGAAGTTGCCACGGGCTCCCAGGTGACAAAGGCAAAAGCCCGCATTCCGGAAAAAAGCTTGATTGACAGGATGCTCACTATAATTCCAAAACACGTGTTTGTTCTTCCTTGCGTTTACGCGGTGCCAACAGCACAACTAGAATTCCAAAACTTGAATTAAGGGATCCCCAAGCAAAGGATTTTTATCATGAGCACGTTACACCCCCAGGGGTTGAGCTCGCTATAAAATAGGCAGAAGCGAAGTCGCCTCTTGAAAAGCGAGGGCATGTGCACGGCACAAGCCCTGCGGGGCCATACTAAGTTTTTCCCGCTAACACCCCTTCCCCAGGCTGTCCTACACGGACATGTGTCTAGAACCAGCGACCTCTTCTTCCGCACACGTAGCACGCTCCCCCGCTCTCGTCGCACGTGTCCCCGCTTTCGAAGAGCCATGCGCCGGGCGCTCGCAGCTCAGAGCTCGCTCACTTCTCGATCACCAAGCGCTGCCACTTGCCCTCGTCTGGCCTCAACACTCAAATAGATCTCGTATGTACATGGTAAAACCATGCATTTGGGCTTTGGGTGTTTGTATGCACCCAATGGACGAGGGTTTTTATGACAACCCAGTGCTTAAGTGGGCCATGGAGTCATTGTTCCCACTGAAATTCAGCATCCTTACACACCGCAAACGGGTCAAAGAAGACCGTGGCAGGCAGCAAAAGGCCCCACGGTCCTGCCAGAATCGGGATCACTGGCTACAAGGTGTAGGGGGAAGCCATAGAATTCGGCTCGCTGCAAGAGCTGTTCAGTTTGTTTGTCCCTCGCAAGCAAGTAACTCTTGGTTGGATATGCCAATCCTTTTGAACTAAAATTGTAAGTTTTCACTGGGTGGGAACCACCAAGGGATCTACTTGAGCGTTGACCCTCAGAGCAAATCCAGATTCAAGGACCCTTCGGCAAGGCCATATCACTCGCGAGGAAGATGAAATGGACCACCCCACTGATCATGACCCCTCCAAAGCAACCAGTTTTGAGGATCCAAAAGCAGTCAGGACCCAGAAAGGGCACAAGACATGAGAGGACTTTCACGGAGCCCCAAGAAGATTGGTCTACCTTTGGGTGCCGCTCAAATGAGTATGGCTCGTCAAGATTGTGTTATTTGGACCCCAAGTGCGTTCCCCGCTTGGATTCCCGCAAGAAAAAAACAACCCGAAAGGTACTCAACTTGCTGGTTCCATAGGCAGGGAGTGAGTTGGAATGACCCCTCTAAACCATCCAACCTATGGCTGTCCTTCCCTTAGAATCCCCAAACGGGTCATTCCCAACACCCCGGAACGGTCATTCCCTGCCTATCGCACCAGCAAGTCTGGCCATGGGTCAAAATCCAGTACCCCCAGTGAACATCCCAATCCAACCACTAAAATAGGTTCTAAAATGGGTGGTGAATTCACCTACCCAATCAACATGGGATCCCAAAACGGTTTTGACAACCACAGGCAAGTCCAAAAGAGAAAAAAAAAAAACGGGTCACCAGCAACGCGTCACGCTCGCAGTTCCCGACAAGAGGTCCTGGCCATCTGCACTTCACGTCCTCCTTCTCCACCTTTTGGCATGGCGCTTTGGGTATGTGTCACAAAAACGGCCCCAAAAAGGAGGTGCTGAACGACCCCCTTTTTTCCCCCCAGAAGCCATCCTCAGGTACCAAGGGACCCTCTGGGAAAGAGGTGTCTTTTCCTTTCAGCTCACCCTGGAACCACAAGGCTGGCCTCAAAAACCCTGTGGGGTGCCGTTCTTTTTCTGGTTGGAGCCCCGACTTTTGGTCGGCTTCCGACGATGTTTGACCAACCAAAGGCTCCCTCAGGAGACAATCCCCAGAGCTCGACACTTGAGCAGCCGCGGACTTGAGCTGGCCACATCCAGGACATTTCCCTCATGCCCACGGAGGAAGACGACGTCTCCTGGGAAAAGTTGTGGTCCGCGCGGATGGCGAATCTGCGTTTTTGATGTCTGGCGCATGGAGATCTATGACAATTTGCTTCTAAGTGATTGGCTGTTGCAAGAAACATAGAAATTATTTGCAAGCGCCGGGCAATCACAGGAGATGGTGGAAATGACTCTCCTTGGTAGCAATGAGGGTTTAGGGCCATTTGGGCCTTTGCGCCATGCTCAGTGCCAAGACAGTCTAGGTCCATTTGGGCGCGTGCCAACCTCAAAAATGGTAACAGCAAACAAAAAACCCTTTGGGTATCCCAATCCCGAATGGAGATTCCTCTTCCCGGAGCACTCCCAAAGCTCCTGAAGCTCCTGACTGAAGCTGGAGATTCTGAAACCCCCCGTACTTGCCCTGTCCTGTGCGGATGGGGCCCCCAGCCTCGCTCGTAATCCTGCCGTCCGGAAACCGGGCTTCCCCGAAATGGTTTTTGCTCAAACCGAGGAACGCCAAGCAAGGGAAAGAAGGGAAAGCAGGGAAGAACTGCTCAGCGGGAAAAAGCAGAACACCAGGCATGAAGGAATGCGGCTGGAACCTGCAAATGGCACTTGCAACTCATGGGACTGAGGTTCTTCCAGCAACCCTCAAGCATGTTTACCTATGCTCCTGGGTTGCGGGAGAAGCGCCGTGTCGACAAAAACTCCGTCAAGCGGAGGGTTCTACTCCCACACAAGTCCAGCACCCCCAGGACACCTCCTCTCTGTCCATGAAAGTCACTTGGGTATGGGTCAAAATTACAACACCAGGGGGCTACGGATTTTGATCCCTTAGTTCCATTTACCTGGGTCCCATTTTGGGTTTACCCTATTTTTGACCCACAGCCACATCCTTGAAACTGCCATCTCTCACATGGTGGCTGGAGGGGAAACGGCCCACAGTAACTTTGAGCTCAAAAAAAAATCCACCGCCCCCGCCCCGAAGCACCGAAGAACCTCCATCCCGCCTGATCTCCTGCCACTCCCCCGCTTGGCTTTGGCGAGCCTGCCGAAGTCAAAAGCCACCTTTCGGGCCCAACAGGCCACCCCAAAGTCAGGTCCTCCAGTAGAGAGCTTAGGGTTTAGGCTACCCACTTTTATCCTTGTCTATTTTAGACTCGGGGAACCCAAAACCCCGAAAAAGAAACGGTAAAAGTTGGCACCTAGCTGGACCTAAGTCAAGTCCTCCGAAGTCAAAGCCAAAGCGAAGCCCGCTGAAAGCGGGCCATAAACGGCCAGTTTCCCATGTCAGCCGTGTAAAACGCAGAGAAAATGGCGGCTTCTTTTCACTTACCGACTGGAAGCGCGTGTCACGAGTCTGGGAACAACTCGAAACGGCTTCGAATGTCCGGTCTCAGATCTGCCAGACCTCTTCAGCTCTACCCCCCAACTCAAAGAATTGCAAGCAAGCCCCTACGGCCCCACATGTGCCAAGGTCTAAACTGGATGTCCATCCCAACCAACGTTAAACAAAACAAATCCTGTCTTTTGACCATGGTACGTTCCCACTCACTAAGTTTGACCTTCGAGTCGCATGTCAAAGCAGCAGATTCCCGGATCCACTTTTGCATCCGACGACCCTTGGATTCGAAAAAGAGCAGGATGAGCAGGGTTCAGCCCACCTTTTAAGTGGCGTCTCATTGGCATGCTAAATCCCCCACCCAGGCCCCGCCCGAACAGCTGTTCCCTTGAAGTCCAGGTAGACCTCAGATGGCGGGTGCACACCGCCTGTCACAGCTCCGTTGAAAAATCTGGCCACACTCGCCATGCAATACTGCCATGGGAAAGCAGTTGATCCAAACAACCGGGTGACCGTGGTGTTGGAACGTGCCGGGTGAACAAAGCGAGAATCAGCACTTGTCGAAAACTCT